TACGTATTTAACTCTAAAATTGCTAAACAAACCTGGAGCATTTATGACTTTCTCCTCTAAGTGAACTTTCATCTGACATATATTGGAATCATGTCTGTTAATAGTGACACCAAACCAAGCCAAATCCTCAGCCTACCATGCAGTCTGAAGCAGCAGGGCCCTGCACTGGGGTTGCCCATGAATCTCTTCTCTTAAAGCCAGGAGGAAGTAGCAGAACAGATACTGCCTGCTTGCTAAGTAGCCACTTTGAACACTGTTCTGTTTTTGAAGGAGGAATAATCAGTGTACCTTGAGGGTTGTTCTCTAGACTCTTTCATGTAGTGATCAAGTGTGTGATCTTAAGACAAGCAGAAAATTACTTTTGTGTGGCCCTGTGTGATGGAGAGTAGAGAATGGTATAACACTCAGAGCTTGCCTGATTTTTCTTATTATACTACAAACTTTCACCACAGCTATTGATTGAAGCTGGCAAATGTTTGAAATAAAAATAAGGACAAAGAAAGAGAACAGGGAAAGACTGAACAGGGCTTGCAAAATCTGGGACTGTATGGGCACCCTTTGCCCAAGCTGTTTTTTCAAATACAGGTTGCAGGTCAGCACGTTGTCTCTCTTGAGCAAACTGCCTCTGTGTGTGATTAAGCTGTTTCATATACTTTTCTGAACTGGAATCTTAGACAAAAAAGTGAGGTAAGAAAAATAGAGACAGGAGAAGAAACACATAATTTAGCCCTTAGGTTCTCTGTTATAGGAGGTGACATTTGAAATAGGGATGTAAGCAACTAGTCAACTACTCAATAAGTATATGCAAAAGCTTATTGGATAGTCGTGTGTGACTCAACTAGTCACTTCCCCCCCCTTTGCTGCCTCTATCAGCGAGAGGAAGCGGGGGAGGGAGCAGGAGCTGGTGCTAGGGGGAGCCATCTAGGGATCTTGCTATATTTCAAAGGGAGAGGCGGAACTTCAGGCGAGTGGGAACTGCTTGAGTCCCTGCTGCTCTTCTGCCCTTTAAATGCAGTAAGAGCCACAGGCAGCTCTTACTACATTTAAAAGGAAGAGGCACAGCAGGGATAGAGAGCACCACACCCCACCCCTTATCGACTAATCAAGTAGTCAATGGAAATTCCAAATCAATTTGTTGATTAATCAAAATTTAACATCCCTAATTTGAAGTCTCTTAGGGTATTTCGGAATAGGGCTGCAAATGTAGGCATCCGGAATTGCAAATCAAGCCCGGGATTTAAATATCCCATGCTTGATTTGCATCTTTCTGGCCGGGTGCCATTTTTTAAATTTACAAGCCCGGAATAACTGCCCGCGACTACACGCGACAGTGAAACAGACGTTCGAAATAAAGTCCTATTTCGAACTACCTGTTTGTCAGTCCCCGTAATACACGAGGTTCGAAGGGATGCCGGAAAGGATGAGACCACAACTGGGGGTTTCAAAAAGCACAAACTGATTTTATTTTGATGGCGCCAGACAATCATCAGAACAAAAATTAAACAGATTGCCAGACAACACAAAACAATTCCCTGAGGCTTTTCTAAATCACAATAATTCCCAATAACTGCCCAGGGGTTAGGAACAGCTGAATTAACACTGGTATTGTTCATAGTGCTGATTATTTACACAACTTTATACAAGGAAACAGTAAAAAACCTAAACCACAACTATTTATAAACTAACTTAGTAACTTTTTAGCCACTGTCACTTGGCAAGCAATAAGGACAACTAAAAAATCAATTAGGATAGGGATGATGGTGGGGGGGGGGGGAGTGTTATACCAGTTCTGGAGACAGCAGGAACACAAGTACCAGTCACACGCTCATAAACTGTCTCCACTCGGGTCGACCAACTCGGAGTACGCTCAGTAAGACTCAAGAGCGGGGGGTGCAAGGCGTCTGGGTGATCAGGCCAGGCGTTCACTCAATGCGAATCCCCAGTGAGAGAGGGGCTGCCTGCCTGTTTTATTGCCTGTGAACTTATCACCCCATAGGTTGGTTTTTGCTGCAGTGGGTGGAGTAGCAGGCCTGAGCACCAGTCAGCCCACTGGCTGATCTGTTACTGCAATGGGTGGAGCGAGCAGGGGAAGATTATTAATTTACATGCCCTTATATGGAAAACACTCCACCTCACAGACAGAGCCCCCTATACCAGCCTCAGAGGTATTACAGGCTATGGCTCCCTGCGATGGGCAGCCATTTCTGATGTTCTGTCTCGGACACTGTTAAACCTCATTGCAGGAAGAATAACAGGTAATTCGAAATAGGGCTTTATTTCGAACGCCCGTTTCACTGCCGTATGTAGATGCGGTCAGTTATTCCTGGCTTGTAAATTTCAAAAATGGCACCTGGCCGGGAAGATGCAAATCAAGCATGAGATATTAAATTCATCTGTGCGTGAATGTGGCATGGCACCTGTTCTAGATGGGGTTACTTTCCCCCTGAAAGAACAGGTACGCAGCTTGGAAGTTCTCCTGGACCCTTTTTTAACATTTGAAAATACGATTTCTTCAGAGGCCAGGAGTGCCTTAGGGCAACTTCGTTTAATACACCAGCTGCGACCCTTACTGAACAAACATGACTTGGCCACAGTGATCCATGCTCTTGTTACATCCTGACTGGCTTACTGTAATGCACTTTATGTAGGGCTGCCTCTAAAGAGCCTTCGGAAACTTCAACTGGTCCAGAATGCGGCTGCTCGAGTTTTAACCAACACTAGTTATATGGAACACATTATGCCAGTGCTTTGGCAGCTGCACTAGCTTCCGGTTTCCGGGCACAATTTAAGGTTTTTGTTATGACCTATAAAGCCTTAAATGAGTTGGGTCCAGGGTATCTGAAGGTCCGTCTTCTCCCATATGAACCTGCCCAGGAATTGAGGTCAGCTGGGGAGGCTTTGCTTCGTGTTCCCCCACTTGTGGAGATAAGATTAACATCTACGCGAAACAGGACATTCTCAGCTTTTGCTCCCAGGCTGTGGAATTCTCTTCCTCGGGATATTCGCATGGCGCCAATACTAGCGTTGTTCCGGCGTCAGACTAAAGCCACCCTTTTAACTAGTGCTTTTATTAATGTTTGAGTCTGTATGTGTGTGTTCCTCCTCTCTATGGGTATGTCTACACTACAACGTTAATTTGAAATAACAGCAATTATTTCGAATTCACTTTAATAGTGTCTACACAGGCAAACTGCTATTTCAAAATAAATTCGAAATAGTAGAGCCCTTATTTCGAATTCGGTAAACCTCATTCTACGAGGAGCAACACCAAATTCAAAATAGCTATTTTGAATTAAGTGCTGTGTAGACACTTAATTCGAAATAGAGGGCTTTCAGCCCTTCCCAGGGAGCCCTGGTGGCCACTCTGGGCACAACCAGGAAAACTTACTCTCCTCTCCCCCAGCTCCAGAGCCATTAAAGGGGTAGACCCTGGCCACAGTGCCTGTGCCAGCTCCAAGCCTGCCAGCCCAGAGCCAGCAGTGGCCACCGTGGCCCCTGACCAACACATCTATTTTTTCACATGCAGGAGAAGGTGGGTGCCTTCCTGGTCCAGGGTGGAGATCATGGACCTTATTCAGGTTTGGGGGGGATGCCCTCAACTTCCATGATCTCCGCACTAGACGGAGGAATGCAGCCATCTATGGCAGGATAGCTGCCAGCCTGGCCACCAAAGGTCACATGCGAACCCAGGAGCAAGTTAGCATGAAAGTCAAGTTGGTCTTGGCGAGACCCCCGACCCTGAGCCCTGAGCTTCCCCTCTTCCTTCTTCCCTTCGCTTCCCCCTTCCAGCTCCCTCCTCCCAGGTTTCCCCCTCCCTTCTCCCATCCTCTCTCTTCCCCTCTCCCACCTCCTTTTCCCAGTCTTCTCAGAAGTTCATCCCCCCCAGTTTTGTTAATAAACCCAGTTTGTATTTTTGAACATACATGTCTTTTATTTGACATCAGTAAGGGGGGCTAGGGAGAGGTAAGTGGAAGGACATGAGGGAGGAATGGGGCACGAGCCCCCTGTGAGGAGGACCGGGGAGACTCTGAGGGCTCCTCGGGGTGGACGCTGTCCCTCAGGGCCTCCCGGATCCTGACAGCCCCCCCGATGATCCCCTGGATGGCAACCTACAGCAAGTGTAGCCGGGCTGATGGCAACGACCCCACGAGATGTACCAGCATGCACAGGGGCAGCTCTGGCTTCATGTGGCTGAGTGCTGTGGTGTCCCTCATCAAGGTAGACAAGCAAGCAGGGAACCCTCAGAACTGTCTGTCTGCGTTGGGGGTAGGGTCCCTTTAAGCACGGAGCTCAGTTAGCCTCAGGCAGCAGCCCCACACACTCAAGTCCTAACCTGTTCTGCCAGTACTGGTTCTGGCCAGCCTTAACTTCGGTTCAGGGTCCACTCAGTGTGGACGCGCTATTTTGAAATAGCAAAACGCTATTTCAAAATAGTTTTTGTGTAGAGATGCATTATTTCAAATTAGCTTAATTCGAATTAAGTATTTTGAATTAAGTTAACTTCAAATAATGCTGTAGTGTAGACATACCCTATATGTTTTTAGCTGGTTATGGCCCTCTGAGGTCTCCTATTTTAAACTCTCATATTTTAAATTTTTATATATATTTGTATTTTTTTTTGTTTGTTCTTGTAAGCCGCCTTGAATATTTTAAATAGAAAGGTGGGGTAAAAATATTTAAATAAATAAATAAATAAATCCCGAACTTGATTTGCAATTCCGAATGCCTATGTTTGCAGCCCTATTCCGAAATAGGCTGCAAGTGTAGATATACCCTTAGTATTATACTATATCTAGCTATTCTTATATTTTTATGATAAGTGAATTTTCTAGACTAAATCCTATAAAATACAAACAAATAAAAATAAAATAATTATTATTTTGAAAAAATTAAGTTTTTATGTTTATCTGATGATATTTGTAGATCATATATAATTTGATTGTACCTTAAGCATTGAACTGTACTAAGCAAAACAAAAACCATTTTCTTTCCCCTCCCAGAAACGAGAAGGAATCCTCCAGTCCCGACAAATCCAAGAGGAAATAACTGGTAACACTGAGTATGTCAACACCACTGTTGCCAGCAGTATAGTAATTGAACACACAGATGTGTCTCAAAAATGCAACTATTTGGTGATATTTAGATTTCAATATTGGGGTTCCAGAAGGAATCATGCCTCAGCTAGTGATTATACTGTAGTCTTTATAAGGCTTTTCAATATGCGTCTCAAAATGTAACGTTACTGAGTTGGAATTACCAATGTGGTTATCTCAAAAAAGTGGGGGGGGGGAATCAGTATTTCCCTAGTATTTCATTCACTACTGGGTTTTGGAGAAGCATAGGTGACTGTGGTGTGACATTTACATGTGATCTCACTGAACAAATCTCCAAGGGTACGTCTACACAGCATTATTATTTCGGAATAACTGAAGTTAGTCCGAAATAACAGAGAGCGTATCGACACAACTAGCCTTTACTTTGACATAATGTTAAGCTGGAGGACTTCTTACTCTGACTCCTACAAACCTCATTTTACAAGGAGTAAGGGAAATCAAAGGAAGAATGTTCTTCCTTCGACTTCCTGCTGTGTAGACAGTGCCTAAAGCCGAGTTAAGCTATTTCAACTTCAGCTACACAATTGACGTAGCTGAAGTTGCATAGCTTAAGTCAACTTTAGCCCTGCTGTGTAGACGTACCCCAAAAGACTAAGTCTAAAGGGAAGGTAGAGCAAATATGTATGAAATTTGTGTATTTGAAGAAATCTATATTGCATCTTGTTTCAAATTCTATACATTCAAAATTGTCTGAAATTTTTCAAACACACAAGAAGGGGTATGGCTCATGCTTTTACCTTTCACAGTTTAGTTGAAGAAGAGCTAGGTTATCTCAAAAAAGGGGGAAAAAATCAGTATTTCCCTAGTATTTCATTCACTATTGGGCTTTGGAGAAACATATGTGACTGTGGTGTGACATTTACATGTGATCTCACTGTACAATTTATAATGGAAACATTGTTTCAAATCCAGCAAGAAGCAACAGCAAAAAACCTACTTTTTAAGAGAGAGAGGAGAGTTCAGGCTAATGACTCATCATTAATCCTTATGGGTTTATTTCAAGTGTGATATTTATATGAAGAAAGAAATGAAACAAAACTCTACAATCCTTAGGAACCTAGTCCAAGGGCTGTTGTTTTGGCCAGCACTTTATTATAGTGGCTTAGACAACTGGATCCTTGGGACAAAGGGAAAGGAGTTCATGAAATAAATATACCAAAATTTTCTCCACAGTCATAAGAAGCTTGTGATTTGGTTAAACACAAGGAAATGTACTATTTGGTGTTACCGGCCTTTGTGGAAACCCACAAGGTTATTACATTATTTGATCCAAGATGCTATGAGCCAGAGTCTCATCTGGGTAAAACTGATGAAGCTACATTCAATTCTGTTAACCTACTCCAGTTTCCACAGAGCTAAGGAACTGGCCATGCATGCAGTTTTTGTGTCTATCTTAAAGAAAAGCATGAAATAATGTAAATGTGGTACATACTTTTTTTTGGTTTTTTTTGCTTTTTACTATAGGGCATTATCAGGAAGGCATGGTAAGTTTCATTTGATTATTATCATTTTCTTGAAGTCATTTCATTTCTGCCAGCATGCACATCAATTAATTCTCCCTGCAGCCAATCTGTTCATTCAAACCATAGGTAAGGTCAGGATTCGCAGCTGCCTTGGTAAATATTTAACTGAATGTGCTGTAGATTGCGATGGCAGTTAATAAATAAAAGAAACTTTGATGTGAAAATAGTCATTTTTAAAACGTGTGTCTTTCAGCAAATGCTGTTTTACAAGTGATTGGTGATTTCATCCCTGAATCATATATATAGTAGCCCAATGTCTGTGACTCCGTAACGCTGAAATGCTGGCTGTTGCCTCAGTCACATCCTTCGCCTCCCGCTGTGGCACTCGGCTGACTTTTCCTCTCCCTCCTGCCTCTCACTCGGGGGACTGCAGAGCCCAAACGGCTGTTTGGACTCCGCGCTTCCTGTGCGTGGAGCCCAAATGGCCGCTTGCTCCCGCAAGGCGGTCTAGCTGAGCAGCACAGAAGTCAACCGAGCGCCACAGCAGGATGCAAAGGGAGGTGGAGCGGTGATGTTCACGGCCGGGGGCAGGGCTTGGAGTTGCTGTCATGCCACACGTCACCACTCTGCCTCCCTTCGCCTCCCGCTGTGGTGCTCAGTTGACTTCTGCGCTGCTCAGCCGGACTGCCTTGCGGGAGCAAGTGGCCATTTGGGCTCCGCAGTCCCCTGAGTGAGAGGCAGGAGGGGGAGGAGAAGAGAAAGAGAGAGACAGAGAGAGAGGTAGGAGGCAGAGGAGAGGTGAGGGGTGGGGGAAGCAGGAGGAGGAGAAAGAGAGAGAGAGAGAGAGACACACAGATGTGGAGGAGAGACCCGAAAATCCCGTTTTATGACAGGCTATTGGCTAGTTTTAATATAAAAGCATTAATGATTAGAGGTTACCAACATGAATCAGACTATGTTCCATAATATAATTGCTTTTCCTTTTAGAGAATTTAATGCTATGCTACTATTAGCTTTGCCATCGAGAGGATAATCTCTTTAGTTGAAAGAGTTTTTCTGTTTTTATCCTGAGATTGCACCATTTAATGTCACTGAAACTAAAACCATGGGGATTGCTAATCTGGTTTACATAGTTTATTCACGGCTCAGTTCAAAGATTCTAGTCATGGAGATGCTTTTAGGGTCAGATTATGAAACTCTCATATTGTGTAGCACCTTAGTCCATGTGAAGTCAACATTGAAGTCAATAGGATTTAGTAAAATTATTCTGTCTCCTCCTAGCTAGGGAGAGCAAAAGCAGCTCTCGGTGGAGTTATTCTATGTCACTCCATTTACTGGCCAAAACAGAGTCATTTAGGGATGATTCAATTTCTTGTTTCAGAAGGCAAGTGCACTTTTACTTTAGTGCTCCTACTTTTGGCTGGCCGTCCTAGTCTTTGACATAGTGTTCTTATTTTAGTGGGGTTGTTCTGCAACCTAGAATATTAAAATGTCCCAGTACACATTACAAGGTGGCACAAAATCATCTGTACCAAGCATCATACTACAATTGTGACATGAAGATTTGTTATAATGTGCTAATGTACTAAGATCACAATACAATGTGATCACCTTCACATGAACTTTGTTACCAATGTTGCTCTCTCAGTCTACACTATGCACTTATTTCAAAATAGCACATCCACATTACAAGTCCCTATCGAAATAATGCAGATTTATATTGAAATAGCACGTCCACACTCATTGGAGCCTGAATTGCATGTAAAGCCTCCCTGAAGTACTCCGGGCAGGGCATCACTTCCTGTAGCTTCTGTCTGAGGCTCATGCCTAAAGGGGCTCTTCTCTACAGCTTAATCTCAGACTCTTCTCCATTGCCTACCTCCTTGAGGGACAGCAAACTCACATTGTGTGCCCTGGTTGCCCTTGTAGATGCCACAGCACTGACACCGTGGAGCCAGACCTACTACAAAGCAGTGCCAGCCTCTTACACCTCCTGCTGCAACTCCTGGTGCAGTTCATAGAGACTGCCCACCTGTTGCTGCAGGAGGAAGATGACGAGCCTGGAATGCAGCATCTCCTTACCCAGGCCTGGGCGCTCCTCATGTACCACAGTTCCTTCCATTCTCCCCTGCACACTGTGCACTGATGCTTCTGGTGCCCGGAGACTTGTTCCAAATGGTGGGATCACATCATCATGGAGTGGTGGGATGACCAGCAGTGGCTCCAGAACTTCTGTGTGTGAAAGGCCACCTTCCTGGAGCTCTGTGAGTTGCTCCCCCTGCTCTTCAGCGACAGGATACCCACATGTGATGTGCCATCCCCCTCCAGAAGTGCATTGCAATCTCACTTTGGAAGCTCACCACACCAGACACCTACAGTTCTGTGGGGAACCAGTTTGGCATGGGGAGATCGACCATCGGGGCCATGCTAATGCAGATTTGACTTTCTTGCTATTGTCCTAGGAGGCTGGTGAACTACTAGGATGGATTCCCTAGGGAGTCGGGTGGAATCTCCATCCCTAGAGGGTTTTCTATCCCAGCTTCACAAAGCCCTGCCAGGAATGGGGTAGTTGTGACTGTTCCTTGTGTGGGAAGAGGCTTGGACTCGGAGAACTCCTGAGCTCTCTGGCTACCCTGTGATTCGATGTTCCTACAATTCTTTAGTTGGTAAAGGCCATCAACGCCATTCTGCTGCACAGGGTCATCACCCTGGGCAATGTGGAGCCCATCATCACTGGCTTTGCTGCCATGGGCTTCCCCAACTGTGGGGGTGGGGCATTGATGGCACCCACATCTCCATCCTGACCCCCAACCACCAGGCTTCAGACTACATACCAGGTGCACTTTTCAATGGTGCTGCAGGCCCTCATGGACCACCAGGACCAATTCACTGATGTTTACATCAGGTGGTCAGGGACAGTGCATGACACCCACACATTCAGGAACTCAAGCCTCTTCAGAGGATGCGCGCTGGAAAATTTTCGCCCGACCGCACCATCAGGGTCAGGGAAGTGGACATACCCATCTGCATCCTGGGTGATGCAGCCTATCCCTTGCTCTCCTGTCTAATGAAGTCCTACCCATGACACATGGACCCCATGAAGGAGACTTTCAACAATAGTCTCAGCAGGTGCCGCATCGTCGTGGAGGGAGCCTATGGTCATTTGAAGGGGAGGTTCTTGAGTCTCCTCACCCATCTGGACCTCAGTGACAGGAACATCCTGAAGGTCGTAGTGGCCTGCTGTGGGCTCCACAATCTTTGTGAAAATAAGGGAAGACTTTCGTGCCAGGGAGGGAAGCAGATGCTAAGCAGCTGGCATGGGATTTTGAGCAGCTGCACACTGCTGACATCCGGCAGGTCCATCGGGGGCTGTGTTCTTCCAGGAGGCCCTGAGGGAGAGTTTCAGACAAGGCCAGTCGTAAGACTCTCCCCCTGGCCTCCCAACAAGGGGCCTCTGAATTGCCCCTGTGTGTCTTTCCTTCCAGACCCGTCCCTTCCCTTGCCTGACCTCTCCCACCTGCAGACAAAATAAACCAGGCTTTTTGTTTGAACAATAAACTCAGTAATTTTTATTTGGGGAATATATAACTGTGGAGGGACTGGTGAAAGAACCTGGGAGTAAGATGGAGTGGGGGAAGGAGGTGCTCAAGGATGGAGCTCGGACTGTTGCCTGCCTCGGGTGTGCCAGGATGCCTCGGCTGGCCAGGAGGCCCCACCACCTCAAGTGCATGGCCCTTAGTGGCCCTGGCACCAAAAGTCTTGGTTCAGATGATGGCGATGTGCTTTGAGCAAGGCTATCTGCTACCTAGACAGCGGGCACTTTCCTGCAGAGGCTCAGACGTCGCAGGTGAGCCTCACTACCCTCATGTCCTGAGGACAAGCAGGCATTTAGAAGGAGCTAGGCAGGCCAGGAGCCTGCAGGCGGAGGAGGAGACAGGGTAGCTCAGTTTCCCTTTCTGCCATGCACACGCTGGGTGTGTCAGTGGTGATATCCTGCAGCAGGAAGTGGGGAGGGTGTTGGGGGAGGTGTATGTGAGTGGCAGATATTGCTTGCTGGACAGAATGCTATGGGATTCCTCTTCTCTTCCTTCTCCCGGCAAGTTCCCATGCAAGAGATCGGTGTCCTCTGCGTTGCCACACTTGCCCATGAGCAGCTGCTACCAAGAGTGTGGGCATGACCCTGTGTCTTGTGTGGCACTGCTGTGTGTTTCCCTGACCCCAGCCTCCTTAGTGGTAACTTGTCATGGGAAGGTGTCCCACCTCAGAGTTCAGGGTAAGGCAGGCCTCCCCAGGAATGTTGTGAGAAGGAGCAACGGGTTCCTGTGTGAGAGCATCATAGGGCTGAGTGCTCTGGACTGGCTTTCCATGTGCATCCACATGCACAGGTTGTTGTGCGAGCCCCAGGACAAGAAGGGTGAATGAGGAGCGTTCAGCCCCTTGCCGCCTGCTGCCTGCCCCCATGTGTGTCTAGGGAAAGTTCTGGAACTCGCCTAAAGTGCTTTCCCCGACCTTGTCCGAGCCCTTAGTGACATCCGTGGAGGGAGGTACTAAGGGAAATGACAGCCTACTGGCTGGTAGACATGGTGTCGATGCTGGCCTCCTCCTCTTCCTGCTCCTCCTCCTGTAGGTTGATGACAGGTGTGTCTTGGCCAGAATCCACGATGAGGAGAGGGGAGGTGACTGGCCTCCACCCCGGGATGCCATCCAGCTGCTCATCATAGCAGCAAGTCTGGGATGCTGCTCCAGAGTGGGACCTTTGTTCCCTGGCCTTGGTGTAGGCCTGCCTCAATTTCTTTATTTTCATCTGCACCTGGTGCTGCTGTGTGGCCCAGGGCTGGCAGGGCTTGTGTGGTGCCACAAGCCCTTTCCCTTCTGCCTGCAGCTTTAAACCCTGTAGGGGAAGGGAGACTAATGCCATCCAGCTGCTCATCATAGCAGCAAGTCTGGGATGCTGCTCCAGAGTGGGACCTTTGTTCCCTGGCCTTGGTGTAGGCCTGCCTCAATTTCTTTATTTTCATCTGCACCTGGTGCTGCTGTGTGGCCCAGGGCTGGCAGGGCTTGTGTGGTGCCACAAGCCCTTTCCCTTCTGCCTGCAGCTTTAAACCCTGTAGGGGAAGGGAGACTATAGAGTTTTGAGGGGTGTGGATAGAGTGTCCACCAGGACAGCTGGGAGAAGCCCTGGAGACCAATTATTTTGAAATAAGCACAGCTGCGCTATCCACACTCACCCTATTTCAAAATAGGAATTTTGAAATAGGCATTATTACTCGTAAATTTAGGGGTTATTATTTCAAAATTAGCCAATAGCCCGTCACAAGATAGGATTTTCGGGTCTCTTTTTTTGTCTCTCCCCCCCCCCCCCCTCTCTCTCTCTCTCTCTCTCTCGCTCTCTCTCCTCCTCCTCCTCCTCCTCCTCCTCCTGTCTCCTGCCCCCCCCCCCACCGTTCTCCCACCTCCTGCCTCTTTCTCCATCTCTTTCTTTCTCTTCTCCTCCCCCTCCTGCCTTTCACTTGGGGGACTGTGGAGCCCCAACAGTTGCTTGCGCCACTTGCTCCCCCATGGCGGCCTGGCTAAGCAGCGCAGAAGTCAGCTGAGCGCCACGGCGGGAGGCGAAGGATGTGACTGAGGCAACAGCGCCACCCAGAGGCAACAGCCAGCATTTCAGTGTCACAGACATTGGCCTACTATATATATATAGTGGGCTTGCTGTGTGGATGCTTGCCTTGTTATTTCGAAATAATGGGAGTTATTTCAAAATAACTCTGAAGTGTAGACATGCCCTCAGTGACTGAAGGTGCAAGCTCACATTTTTTATGTTTTTCTAGATTAGCTCTTAAATAATTGGAGAAGCTCTTTTCTTCATTAATCCATTTAGCTCACTATCTACCTCTGCCTGGTTATATAGGTTATTATACAGGTAGATGTTGATGGTTGTTAATTCTTGGAGCAAAGTTACAGTTTGTTGTTCAGATCACTTTATTATGCTGCCCAAATCCCAGTTAAAATCTGTATTTCTGACAAAAGACACAACAGTTTCTAAGAGGTTATAAAGAAACAAAAAATCAATACAAATTGCATTAAAAGATTCTGCTGATCCTGCTGTTCTTAGCATTCATGCTCTTTAATTAGTTTTCATTATGCATTTGGGTGGCTGTTGCTTGCTATGTTAACAGATTTGACTATTTTTCAGAACGGGATGCATTTGACACTTTATTTGACCACGCCCCAGACAAGCTCAATGTTGTAAAAAAGGTTGGAAATTTTTTTATTTCTGAAATACAATGAAGTGGCACATTAGCATATTTAATCTAATAAAACTGAACTTTACACTGAAAATTTAAATAATAGTGCTATGATTGCACATTGGGAGTGTTACATTTATTAATGTCATCAACATTAATTTTGCTTCAGAGCCTAGAACAGGAGAGAGAGAGAGAGAGAGAAATCTCCACTGTAGAGAACTTTGTCATGTAACTGTAGTGTGTCCAAACTGGCGTCAGACACGCACAGTCGCCTGAGCCAGCTGACTTGAGCGCATGGCAAAGGGGCTATTTAATTGCAGTGTAGACATTCAGTTACAGCCTGAACTCTAGGGCCTCCTACCTTGTGAGACAAGCCTGAATGTGTTCACTGCAATTACACAGCCCCTGACAATGAGCCTTGCAAGCTAGGGTTGTTAAATTTAGTTTAATCAACTAATAGACTAGTTGATGGAATTTCCATCGACTAGTCGAAAAGAGTGGGAGCTGCAACAGGGTTAGCTCCCGACCCTGGGAGCTAACCCTGCTGTGGCTTTGCCTTTTAAGTGTATTAAGAGCCAATAGGCTCTTAATACATTTGAAGGTTAAGGCGCAGCGAGCGGGATCTGACGCAAGGTGAGATAGCTGATTCTCAACTTGCGCCGGATCCCCTCACTGCACATCGGCCTACTAAATGTATTAAGAGCCTGCCGCTTTATGCTTATTGGATAGTCGACTAGTCGCTTATATTCCTACTGCAAGCCCAAGTTAGCTGGCAAGGATCAGCCATGGGTTTTTAATTGTAGTGTAGTATAATGGAAACTCATAGGTAGATCCATAGCTGGTGTAAATAGTCATATCACTTCACTGAATGCCAATTTACATTGGTGGATTATCTGCCCCCCATGAATGTCAGCTGCTATCAAATTGAGGCCTAGTTCAACAACACAACTCTCTAGACTGCTACAAATGTAATTTCACTTTACAACAACGTGTTTTAATTATTTGATTACTGTTCGTGTCAGTTCTGTTCCTCAGTCAGAAAACCAATAAATCTTGGAGTTAAACACTTTTAAAAATGCAGGTTTCAGTTTGTAACTTTACAATATTTAGAAATAAGCACTGAACACTGTGTATGTGCAGGTCTTATGGGAAAAGTTAAAACCGATGCTCTAAAAAGTATGCCTTGATCAGCTTGTTCACATTTTTCAGACTCTCATCACTTTTGTGAACAAGCATCTGAATAAACTGAATTTGGAGGTTACAGAACTGGAAACCCAGGTAAGAGTCATAGCTCTGGTTTGTGGGGGGAAGACAACTGTTCCATACTATACTCATATAACTTTTTCAAAGGTTTCACAAGATTCTTATTCAGCTGTCTTTCAAGAAGTATTATTTCACCCAGAAACCCCCCTGGATTGCTTAATATTATATAGGCCTGTCATATGAAGATAAAAACTGTACTACAAGGACAGTGAGCTGTTCTAGTAGTAACTGAAGCTACATCACAAATCTTGTGCTCTCATTTCCATATGCTCTTCCAATCCTTTTTGTGGAAGAGGTTTTTGCGATAAAAAGCCCAGTGTAGACGGGGCCATTTGTTGGAAAAACCCTGTTTTGCATAAGATCTCTTATTCCTCAAAATATAAGATTTACAGGATCTTGCACAACATAGTTTTTCTGACAAATGGCCCCATCTACACAGGGCTTTTTATTGCAAAAACCTCTTCAGCAAAAAGGATCAGAAGAAAATATGCAAATGAGAGCACAAGATTTGCAAATGAGTGCTCCATTTGCATTTCCTCTTCTGACAAACTGCTGCAGTGTAGATGTAGCCTGAATTTCAAGAGCACATTTCCCGCAAAAGATTTATACTTCCTTTACCATTAATATTACTTGTAAACTATGTAAGTTGGGATCTAGGACTATTTTGGTCATTAAAGATTCCTTAGATGTCATTAGAGTTTCAGTAAGAATCTTGGCTTTGGTATTCTGATGAAATTCCACGTTGGGCGATTGCATTCACCTACCCTTACTTTACTCAAATGAATAATCTCTTGGGAGTTCTGTGACACTTTCTCACTGGGACTGCTTACACACATAGGCTACGTCTAGACTGGCAAGTTTTTCCGCAAAAGCAGCTGCTTTTGCAGAAAAACTTGCCAGCTGTCTAAACTGGCCACTTGAATTTGCACAAGAACACTGACGATCTAATGTAAAATGCTTTTGCGCAAGAGGGCCAGTGTAGACAGGTAAAAACTCTTTTGCGCAAAAAAGCCCCAATGGTGAAAATGGCAATCGGGGCTTTCTTGCACAAAATGGCGTCTAGATTGGCACGGACACTTTTCCGCAAAAAGTGCTTTTGCGCAAAAGCATCCATGCCAATCTAGATGCTCTTTTCCGCAAATGCTTTTAACGGGAAAACTTTTCAGTTAAAAGCATTTGCGGAAAATCATGCCGGTCTAGATGCAGCCATAAAGTTTCTGAGTGCATGTAAGCAATTGCATAATGGGGCTCTAAGCTTGAGAGCTCCACAGTGTGACATAGTGCTGGCTCCTCCTTTTTTCCAGTTGCTAGAGTGCATCAAAAAGAGCTAAAAATACAGGAAATACTTCCCTAGTATTCTTTTTTCTATATAAACAATTGCAGCAGTTGCCACAAGGAAGTTACATGATGAGACAGGAAAGAAAGTGCTCTTCGTGATTACCAGTGAGAGGAAAGGTGTCCATAGAGCATTTTTTCCAAGGTGTGATCCTTCTTACAAAAAAAGTCTCCAAACCTCCTGTCTAACTGGATACAAGTCTATACTAGGTATGGCTTCTACAAAGATGAAATTAAGAACTAGCTGGGAGGAGACCTATGAAGGTTTCAGAAATATGTCTTTGTTTTTAAGTGTTTGTTTATTCCACTTTTCTCTTACTGAAGAGCCCTCTTTGATCAAATATCTCTAGAGACCCCTAATAGTTCATTGAAACTGTACTTCACTAACTGAGAGTTTGGTTGCATTTCCAGCAGCTTCAGGGAGATGCTGAGCTGCTTTAGATAACTTGGGGGAATGGATAAAGAGGGTTTGATTAAGTGAGGCTATGTTCTAGCACTGATAGTCATAAGGTACAGATAAGATTGAGATGGCCATTCTATTCTAAATCTCTCTTCATGGTCATTCATGAATTTCTCTGAAATGTTTCCTTTGGGCAAAGAATTGCTCATGCCTGGTTTAGAAAACATTCATTAATTTGCTTCTGTGTTACACAACTGTGAAAAAAATACAATTCTTTTTTAAAAGTAAAAATACAGAATTTTTGTCATCTTAAGGAACTCAAACTCCTGTTTTTAAAAAGTTCAACATGCTTATAGTTCTTTATGAGGAATCTGATCTTATTCTGCAATTTTTGAGAAAAGTATTAAAATTAGTAATATGTATAAAAACTACGTGTTAATTATAACTCATAAAGAGATAAGTATGTGGATGGATACTATCTACGTATACTTGTGAAAAGTGAAAAATTGTTTAAGGACTTTACTGCACTATGGACAATCCTTTTGTTTCTCTATACTGTTCCCCTCCTCGTTTGTGTATTTGCAACCCACACACCTAAGCTCCATCTACACTGTTTTTTGCAGAAGAGGAAATGCAAATGAAGTGCTCATTAGCAAATCTCGCGCTCTCATATGCATATTGTCTTCTGATCCTTTTTGCGGAAGAGGTTTTTGTGAAAAAAACCACAGGGTAGACCAGGCCATTTTTCGGAAAAAAAAACCTTTTGCTCAAGGTCCTGTAAACCTTATTTTTTGAGGAATAAGGGATCTTGTGCAAAAGGGTTTTTTTCCAAAAAATGGCCCTGTCTACACTGCGTTTTTTTTTTTTTAAAATGGCCCTGTCTACACTGCGGTTTTTTTTTTTCCGCAAAAACCTTTCGCAAAAAGGATCAGAAGAGAATATGCAAATGAGAATGCAAGATTTGCTAATGAGTGCTTCATTTGCATTTCCTCTTCCGCAAAAAACAAAAAGTGTAGGTGGAGCCCTAGTGTGGTTCACTGTCCCATGCAGTGGCACTTAGATCACAGCAACAGATAAGAACAAGAAACCTCTACAGCATGGGCCGAGAGCCAGCTGGCTTTTAGCTCAAAGGGTTGAGGTTCCTCTGTTGAACTCCAGAGATCCCAGTTTCAAATGGCAGTTGCACAATGATTAGATGATATATTTCTTTCTGCTTTCTTCTACTCCGGGACTACATGCCATGTCACAAAAAGTCTGGAAGAGATTGCTGGACCTCTGCCACAAGGCCAGCAGAATCTGAAATGAAGTTGTATTTCATAGAGCAGCCATCCTAGAGCTCTCACACTACAGAAGTGGGCCCACAACTCCCTGTTCCTACAATGATGAATCCACTTCCTAGTTCCAAACCTACTTAGCCTCCAATGAAAAGTCACCCATAACTGCAGGTCTGTGCTGGTTACAGCCTCCTTCCAGGGTGCTTATATGTCCACTTGTTTATTTCAGCATCTGATCAGCTTAGCTATGAATGATAATACAAGTATAAGCGACAAGGAGTCCTGTGGCACCTTATAGACTAACTGAAGTGTAGGAGCATAAGCTTTCGTGGGCAAAGACCCACTTCATCAGACGCATGTAGTGGGTCTTTGTCCCTACACTTCAGTTAGTCTATAAGGTGCCACAGGACTCCTCGTCGCTTTTGCAGATTCAGACTAACACGGCTACCCCTCTGACACTTAATACAAGTATAAGAACTTATGCAGATTCAATTAAAATATTTAAGTTAGTACCTGTAGTGTCACAGAGCATACTGTATTAGGCAACAGTTATCTTGTTTATCAGGCAAAATAATTAAACCGTTTTAGAATATATACTCAGAGATATCATGGTCTCTTCTAGTTTGCAGACGGTGTATATCTAGTGCTGCTAATGGGTCTCCTGGAAGGTTATTTTGTGCCCCTGCACAGCTTCTTCTTGACTCCTGATAGTTTTGAACAAAAGGTAATTCTCTTGTTAGATTTGATATTGTTTATACTAGAAGACTTACTTGGCATTGCCCCGGTCTTTCAGGGCAGAGAGCTGGCAGTGTGAGGGTGCATGAGTAAGGGCAGAGCCTTGGGGTTGTGGGGGCAGTACAGGAGGCTGGGGACAGAAGGGTGAGAGAGTGAGGGGGCTTAGGATGGGAGAGTCCCATCCAGCACAGGACTTTTCACTCCCCACAGCTCCCCTCTGGCCACCAGGGGCCTTTGATCTCCCCCAATGCCCCCCCCCCAGCTACTAGGGGCCTTTTCACTCCCCCAAGCCACCTCCTTGGCTGCCAAGGGCCTTCTCCCCTCTCCCAGCCATGGCACTGCAGCCAAAGGCCAGGAGGTGGGGAAAGGGTTTTGGGTGGGGCAGTACTTACCTGGTTTGCTGGTAGAGCCCCATCCCTGCTGGCCACTCTCTTGGTGGTGCGTCTGCCCCCAGTGGCCACTCTCAGTATCATGTACCTCTGAACACCCCAACCCCTCTCTTTCCATGTTATGGAAAACAGTCCTTTGCCTGGCACTTCTGGTTGTTCTGGCACAACCAAACCCTGACCTTGCTTTATATTAGGAGAAGAGGAAGCTGCATATCAAATTTGGTGGTCCTAGTTCTTAACATTTAGGAGGAGCCCTTGAACAAATGGACCTGCAGACAGACTGATAGAAGCACTAATCTCTAAAATATAAAGAAAAACACTAGATAAAGAAAAACACTTCCTGTAATCCACCATTAAAAATTCAGCATTTGCCAACAGTTACTACACAGAAATATTTGAGATACTGTGGTTATTGCCTCATCTGAATCGAGGAGGAAATTGTGTTAACTGATATCTAGGAAATATTAACTGTTTGTTTGGCAGCCACTGCAATGCTGCCATTGAGCAATCAATATTGTCAGTGATTTAAATAAGAATCATGTGCCTGCATGAGGGCAGAATCAAGTTATGAATAACAAAAATTGAATATTTACGAGATTCGTGGAGTTTAAAGATATGAAGGAATATTGCCTTATATGTACAGTGTGCAATTTTAAGACCAAACAAGTGTGTATGGAGACAAAGGGCAATCTCCATTGACATCCAAGGCAATTCAGCTCTGTGTTTGGATCAAGGACAGGACCTGGACTATTTGCATTCCAGCTCATCTGATGAAGTGTGTTTTACTCATAAAAGAGTCTGATACTCTCTCTCTCTCTCTCTCTCTCTCTATATATATATATATATATATAGTCTCGAAGGTACCACAGGACTTGTACCACAGGACTACTCTTTGTTTTTTAAGTTACAGACTAACATGGCTACCCCTCTAAGACTTTGTTATGGACAACTGAGCCCAAATCCTATTCAGATCATGACAATATGATTTGCAAATACTCTGATTTCTGACAAAAAAAACCTTGGAATAATCACTAGTTTTCTGGACCAGATCCTGGACAGCTTACACCAGCTGAGGATTTGGTTCTGTAGAGTTAAACACACCCTAACCATGCTAACTATGAGCACTGGGCAGGGAATAATGTATAAAAATAAATGTGTTTGTTATGTTACCAGGTTGTGAATGTGTCCTTTTCATTTGAACTAATGCAAGATGGAGGGTTGGAAAAACCAAAACCAAGACCAGAAGGTATCCTACTTTATTTTTTATTGGTATAATGGTGAAATCCTATCCTGTGCTATGGTATTGTGCTAAGGTGGGGTGGGGTACAAAGAAACGTTTAATCGACAAAAGTAGAGAGAGATAAGTTCATCTATAGTGCTCAAGCAGTCTGTGGTTAGGGTATGTGTCTAGCTCTCTTTGAATCAGCAGCAAGTTCTGCATGAGGGTGCATGCTTCTCAGAGAAGTATAGTCCCTTCAGCATTATGTTCCTCAGCCCCTCCTTGACCATTCCTGCCCTTGCCAATGAATGTGCTTCTACAAAGGAAACAATGGGTGATATTTTTGCTCTGGACAGGGCAGAGTTTATCCATCATGAACACCAGTATTGAAGAGATGATTCTGGTAATACCAAAAAATGATTTGTGAATTGTACATTTGGATAAGCCTATTCTGGGGTGAGCATTAATTTTTGAAGGGGGGGGGCACTTCACAAATTTCTGAAGTGGTCATGGGCCACCCCAGAAGTGGTGGGGTCTCGGGTGGAAGGGGCATGGCCAGGAGGCTTCCTGTGGTCCCCCGCCCACAGACCCTGATTGGCTTGGGGGCAGAGGGAGCGCATGAAGTCTTTGCCCCCACCCCCAAGTGGGTTCAGGAGATTGGTGTGCAGGTTCTGGGAGGGTGTATGGGGTCAGAAGAGGGCAGAGGATTTGGCTCATGTGGGATAAGGAAGTAGGAGTGGGGGAGCAGAGGGCTGTGGGGAGGGAGGAGTTTGGGGGCAAGGGAAGGCTCTGGCTGGGAGACTTACCAGTGAGACTCCTGGCCAGCAGCCCAGGTCATTCTCAGGCAAAAGCCTGCCCTGCCCCCGCACAGGCTGCAGGGCCATGTGCTCTGTGAATAAGAGCCTGAGGTGAGAGCAGAGGAGGGGGAGTGGGGCTTTGCGTGCAGCCTGTTTATCAAACAGGCAGCTTCCATTGACCAGAAACTGGCCAATGGGATTGTTCTCGGGGTGGGAGCAGCCATGGAGCACCACTGCCCACTCCTCACTGTATCCAGGGGCCAGATCTGGTGGTGGCTTAGCAGGACAGATCCAGCCCCCAGAGGGTGTTTTGCCCTGGCCTGCCTTAGGAGCTGGGCTTGCCTTAATCTGGCTCTACTGATCCTAGAAAAACAAGAAATAGTCTAGCAGCACCTCAGAGACTAACAAAACATGTAGATCCCTGGTCACCAACCAGTAGATCGTGATCTACCGGTAGATCTCAGGGGCTCCAAGAGTAGCTCTTGAACCCTCTCTGAACTGCGTGCCTGCACAGTACATTTACATTAGATTTCCTCATTTGAGGGCTTCAAGGAAGGGGCGGGGCTTCAAGGAAGGGGCAGGGCGGTAGATCTTTGCCTGTTCTGAGACTTAAAAAGTGATCTTGGGTGTAAAAAGGTTGGAGATCACTGATGTAGATGGTATCATGAGCTTTCGTGGGCATAGCCCACTTCTTTAGATGGCTGGAAGTGGGTTGTTCTCACAAAAGCTCACGATACCATCTACGTGTTTTGTTAGTCTCGAAGGTGCTGTAAGACTATTTGTTGTTTTTGAAGTTTTTCCCATTACAGACTAACCCAGCTACCCCTCTGAATCCATTGATCCTAGTTTTTCAATTCTTGTGATGGCTGGGACTCTCTATCCCTAGAGGTTTTCAAGTTCCAGCTTGACAAAGCCCTGGCTGGGATGATTTAATTGGGGTTGGTTCTGCTTTGAGAGGTGGTTGGACTTAATAACTCCTGAGGTCTCTTCGAACCCTAGGATTTTATGATTCTGTTGTGGGCAGGCCTGCTTTAGATAAATTGATAGCAACTGTATCATAAGACCTTACGTAGGGGCAATCAAAGTAAGGGGGTAGAAATATTGAAATCTAGGGTTTCAAGTAAAACAGAGTAGCTGTGATCTCTCACTCATGCTGGAGGTTTTAAATTCTTAAGGCATTTTAATTTTTAGGTATTTATTGCTCTAGGGGACAGCTAATTTTTCCAGTATAAATCAATCCATTGGGACATTTCAGTATATATATGCCATTTCTTCTGCAATTATTGAAATGCTTAATATGAAACTTCCTGCCCAATATGAATGGAAAAATGCATCTGTTTTATGTGTTGTTAAACTGGGCACAATGCCCATGCCTAACATTTCCAGACAGCAAAATAGCATCGGAAAGGATCTTACTATAAATGTGTATACTAAGTAGTCCTAAAATTCCTACACAGCTTCTATGAAAATTTTGATGAATAAATGCTGCAGAATATGAAAAACATATGAAGAAAAATAGTGAACATGGTAAATAAATTAGCATATCTGCAACATATTAACTTTTCCAGGTCAACAATTTATTTCTGCCGCATATTCTTTGAATTATATACAACAAAAGTATGTCCTGCCCCCTTTGTTTTATCTTTTACCTTGTATTCAAGAGACAGCTGTAGATATGACGCTAAATGTTATCAGACAAAATTTTCAGAAAGAGAAACTTAAAATTACACTCTGAAGTCCTCACTTATGTGCCTGATGTTGGGCTTTTCAAACTTGTCAGTATGGGGTGAGGAGCCTAAATAGAGGTTCCCATTTTTGACTGTCATTATGATTTTCTTTCCAAAATGGCCTCAGCTGCATATAACAGAAGTGATCTCATAAATTCTGTTCATTAATCTTTAATGAAAGTCTTGATCTTGCAAGTTCTTGCATGCTTCAAGACTGTTGATGTGAGGTTATAGTACAAATGCCAAGACTAGTTGTGAGTGTTGTGTAATTTTAAAATAGAGAACATAAACACAATTAAATTGTGACCTTCAGAATTAAGCCAGCTTGTCAGGCCAGCCAACTCTAATATTTAAGGGGCACTCTGGTAGAAGATAGATTCCATGAATATATTCCATCTTCTGCTTGGTCTTCTTTCAGTTCTGTTAGGATTCATGTGAATCTTTGCACTCAGTTTGTACCTCATCATCCTTAACTGAGTGAAGCATTGTTGAATGCAGGCTCCTTCTGAGTGACGCTCCACTTTAGAGGCCAGCCACAGAAATGAGCTATTTTGAGAACAATAAGATAAGATTATGTTTCTGTACAAATATCATGAGGTTTTTGGGAAATGAAAAAAATTCGGTGTTATGAAATTGAATAGAAATAATTCATGTTTCTAGAAACATTTTTAACCATCCTGTAGAGTTCTATAGATGTGATGGAATTTTCAGGGACATTTTATGGAGTGATTTGAAAATATTTTTGCAAAGTTTTCCATTAAATTATGTCAGACTCTTCTCTGAGGAAATAAAGGGGATCATATGACTCCAAGACCCCCAGCTCCAGATTTGATGGGGGATGCGTTAGCATCGAGGCAGGAAGGCAGAGCATAACAGTAGCAACCTGGGCCGTGCGGGGGAAATGCCCTTCCATCTATTCCCAGCAGCTTTGATATTTTTACATTTTATAGCCTTGCCTATTGGCCCCTTGAACTTGGCTTTGTCTTCCAAAGGCCACACAGTAAAGGGGCCTAATTCCTAACCCTATTCCATTCCTAATTCCATTAAGTGGCACAGTCCCTTCAGGTAGGAGGCTCCATAATTCAGCTCTGGGAATGAAGCCTTGTTTGTTTGTTATGGCTTTGCAGCTGGCTAGCCTTTACCATGGGTATGTCGATCTGCCAATATCTGCAGTCCTCAACAGCTTTACATGGGTTTGGCTGGATTGAACCATTCGAGTGTAGATGTTTGTTGTGTAAACTTCAGAATCACATAAAAGACTGTAATATAACTACTAGAATGGCAATATTGTTTTGATAATTGCATAATTTGCTCAGACTGCCTGCATGCTTTGAAGATGTCTTGTTTACCCAGATCAGAGCAGTCATTCAGATAATTTAATTTCATATATATTCTGTGGCAGTAATATTGACTTTCTCAACAACCTCTCTTGGAAACAAAGTGTACATTTATTAGCTGTCTTGTTTCACAAGGTTAAATATATATTGTTTGAGGACCTGATTCAGCCACGTACTTGACCCTGTGTAACCCCATCTCTGTGTCACTGCTGAAGGAAGCCAAAGTAAAGCGGTGGCCGGGAAGGCAGGATGGTTGACTCAGTGGTATTTCAGCACATCAAATGACACATCAAATGGAATCTTTGTCACTGAGCTCATCACAGCATGTTCCTAACTTTAAGCACAGGATGTGAGATTTTCAGCAACAACTTTCAGAGGCATTTGTACATCTAACTCCCAAGGTGCTTTAGAAAATTCTCCCCATTAGAGCATCAAAATGTTTGCCAAATACAAACCTAACAGTCCATTCATTCAGTATGGACTCAGTCCTGCAGCCCCTACATATCTGAATATTCCCACTGATAGGTCAGGCCCTACTTGCCAATTTTTAAAGAAACTGCTTCCAGTTTTGAACCTGCAGGGTACAAATAATTATGGGTGCTAATTTTTGCATGCAGACCTCTAAGTAATTGGAAGTATTCGCAAATCAGGAAGTTACATGTTCCTATATTCATCTGCAGCTGCAGATAATGGTGGCTGCAGTGTTGATGTCTGAGTTGAGGTCCTCATCAAAAATTGTCCTTATGTTTTTCCCATTTCCATGCCCACCCTCCTTATGCATTCTAAGTTTGTGATTATGTGTTTGGGAATGGGACTGAGGAGAGAAGAATGCACTTTCATACGAGAAGGCGGGGTGGTTTTTTGTGGGTGCTTCCTGAGTGTCATGAAAGGGGCTGATTTTCCCTTTTTCCCTTTTCCTAGATATTGTAAATTGTGACTTGAAGTCAACTTTGAGAGTGCTGTACAATTTGTTTACCAAATACCGGAATGTGGAGTGAGGAATTGATTTGGAACAGATGAATGGGTGTTAACAAAACAACCCATCACAGCAATCATATTCTTTATGGTCATTTCTTTGCATTTGCATTTGTATTTTCTAAAGGAGCTGAATCACTTCTCAAAAGCGTGTTGAACTGATTATTCTTGTTATACTTTTCAAACCCTTATGCTTAAAATTAAGGCTACAGTAAACCAAGTTAAATGATAAAGTAAAAGATTTGAAGGGAGATAACTAGGTACCTTCTGGGGAAACCCATCTCTCATTAACGGTTTTTATTCTATTTTAAAATACTCAGAGCAATGAGCAGCAGACTTGATAGCTTTAATTAGGCTTGACTTTGGAAGTTAATTGTAAGAGGTTATCTTCAGCTATATCTTAAATATTAATTAAAAAAACAGTTATTTTTCTAATCCGAGAGAGGACAAGATCTTTTACCTATAATAAGATGGATGCATCAAGAGATCCTGCTAATTTACTGAAGGACAGGTAGAATGTGATGGTTCGCATTGGAGCTAAGAAGAGAACTGCTAAAGACACTAAACCTAAGTTAATTTTTTTATGTTGTATGTTTTTTGTGTACTAACTGAAATGACTACTTACTCCTTCAAACTTGCAATGGTGTGATGTTCTGATTTAAATGTGCATTTAAAACAGCACTCTTTACATTTTGTATGCTTGATTTTGTGCTATGAAAAGACCTTTATTACACATTTCAAAATTCAGAACAGTGTCAAAAGTTTATAATACAGCCTCTTCAAATGTCTAGGATCTCTCCTAAAAAGACACCCAGGGAAAGCAGAAACGGAAGTAAAGGAATTGTTTTTACTTAAAATTAACAGTTTAGACAAACTATAATTGGTATAAATTAAACAGTATTTTGGAAGGGCACTATTAATTAATAATTTTTTTAAAAAGCAGGTTCCTAATTGAAGACCTTAAAGAATCTTGATTTTCAGAAAGTGGGTGCTAAATTCTTACTGAAAATTAGACCTCATTAGGATGCTACAAGTGAGGTACCTAAAAATGGTAGCCTGCAAGATCAAGATTCACTTTTGAAAAATTAGGCCAAAGGCTATATAATGTAAGAATGGTACGGAGTGTTTTTGAGCATACACGTTTTAATACAAGTGGTAGAGTGAACAAAAGTGAACAAGAAAAGAAAAGTTTGTAGTGTGTGTCACTGTAATATTTGTAAAACTGTCAGATGGGATAGCACTTAAATAAATAGCCTAAAAAATATAGGATAAACATTTTTTGGGGGTACTGATGTTTAGCTTTTAGCTTAGAAAGGAAGTATATCAATTTAGTAGAAAGTAAAATAGTGCCCGGTTTTATACATTGAGCCTTGTACATTGTCCATTTTTTTTCTGCTCTCGCACCTCTAACAGGCCTCAAATGTTAAAGCATAGGAGTCCATTCTAGCCGATCACAGTGCAAGAGACTAAGTCAGGAACAGTGCCATAGAAACCAGTGGTTACCAAGAAGAGTAGTAAAGTAATCATTACTTAAAGTTTTAAAATCAAGATTTAGATGTCTTTCTAAAATGGATCTTGTGAGTCAACCATGAGTTATTGGGGTCACTAGCGTCGACTTGCACATTTGGAAACAAAAAACAAAAAATTCTTTTAGGGCCAGAATTACTGTGTAAAATTTTTGGCCTGTGTTATGCTGCAGGCCAGACTTGATGTCCATGGTTCCTTCTGGCCTTAAACTCTATGAATTATACCCTGCGTGTGGTCTCTTGTGTCAGTTATCTGAAGAAATTCAATGCTGGTAAGAATTATTCATAACATGTTTATATTACTCATTTTCTAAATTGCTAAATATCTTATTTTTCAGTTTTTGCTTTTTTGTTTTTCAGTGCAACCATTAGTGTTAAATCTAGTAATGGTGTTCTTCTATGGATACTAAGTGATGGTAAATAATAAGCTGATATTGACTTCAGTTGAGGTGCTTATTGAGATTCATTGCTCTGAGAGGTAAATATTGATTGAAGCAAAGATAACATCAATATTTAATACAAGAAACAATAAACTAGGATGTTCATTGAACCAAGAATTCAGTTATCTGTATTGTTACATACTTTCTGAATGTGAAGATTATCTGGATAGCCCTACATTTTAGTAAGAGTTTTCAAATGCATGTCAGCTTTTCCTTTTAAACAGAGTCTCTAAAAAGGTTATGAAGCTGGAAAAGAAATAAATAATTGGACTGTGTGCCCCCTTTTCCTCCCCCACATCAGAATTCACTAATTTCTATGTGCTATCTAATTAGTTAATGTCCTTTTGGATCTCAGTACTATTGACCTTTTGAGGAGATAAGCAATAGGACCTTAGCCTGCATTTTTTTCAAAGCCAGTCTTGAGCCACAAGTGTTCTCCTGTATGTACTCATAGTAGTTAAGGTGAGTTTCAGCACTTTGCCAGGAAGTAGCAGTTTTACCTCCTTTGGTTATTTGGCATGTATTTTGTCCATCTCTAAGTCTATATGGGTATGTCTACACTGCAACCCTAGTTCGAACAAGGGTGGCTAATGTAGGCATTCGAACTTGCAAATGAAGCCCAGGATTTAACTATTTGCATGTTCCCGGGCGCCGCCATTTTTAAATTCCCCATAGTTCAAACTCCTTTCCCGCGGCTATATGCGGCATGGACTAGGTAATTCGAGTTAAAGCTCCTAATTCGAACTACCGTTATGCCTCATTGCAGGAGGAGTAACAGTAGTTCGAATTAGGAGCTTTAATTCGAACTACCTAGTCCGTGCCGTCTGTAGCCGCGGGCAGGGAGTTCAAACTACGGAGCATTTAAAAATGGCGGCACCCAGGAACATGCAAATAAAACCCGGGATATTTAAATTCCAGACTTCATTTGCAAGTTTGAATGCCTACATTAGCCACCCTAGTTCGAACTCGGGTGGCAGTGTAGACATACCCTATATTAGTAACTGTTAGCAGGGCTGGCCTTAGACCGATTCAGCTGATTCCCCGGCTTGGGGCTCCTGGGCGCACGGCGCATGCGTCATGATGTCCTGGGAGCATGGCGCATGCACCATGCGCCCAAGGGGCCACACATGCGTTGTACTCCCGGGGCACTGCGTATGTGTGGGCCCCCGAGCATCCACCGTGCCGCCCGGGGCCCTGCGCATGTGCGGCCCTGCCCCTGGAATCGGGCCCCGCTCTCCATAGAGCCGGCCCTGACTATTAGAATGCCACAACTCAGTTCTTTAACAAATCGGTAAACATTTTGTTTTTACAGATTTTATTTGTTTGGAAAGATCAGACACGCTCTCATACATAGACCATATTATAATAGCAAAGCAAATATTTTTAACTGCCTCTGCTTTCAGAGAGTGCTTTTTAGGAAAGACAGCTCTCTGTGCATAGAAGAAAGATTAAAAACAGCAAAACTCTTTGCCACATCTGTGCATTTGTCCTAATTTTTATTATTTTATTCTCTGCTAAAGATGTAATTGGCAAATTTTTTGTGTCAGTAAATTCCATCTAAAAAAATCAGTCAACAGAATTGTGAAATACTTACAGTACAGTAATTGCTGGACACCTGAGACTATAAAATTGTATATTGTTTTATAGCAAGAATTATTATAAACTAAAATCTTATATAACTATATCTGAGAGCACAATTATTATGAATCTAGAACAGTATATTAGTATTAACACACATATTACAGGCCAGTGGATCACTGCTTCTATCTCTGATTTATATAGATTTAAATAGCCTATAAAATGAATATGAAATCTAATCTATAGATATCTAATATTTATTGCTTTTAATATAGAAAAATTATAGAAAAATAGAATATTACTATAGTCAGTTTTCTCTTTATCAAGTCATATTTTGCCTGCACCTTCCTTATGTGACACAAATTAGGTCAAATTTTGCTCTCAGTTACAGTGCAGTTATGCCCAATACACACAAGTGTAAGGGTATGTCTACACTACCACCCTAGTTCGAACTAGAGTGGTAATGTAGGCAACCGGAGTTGCAAATGAAGCCCGGGATTTGAATTTCTTGGGCTTCATTTGCATCTCGCCGGGCGCCGCCATTTTTAAATGTCCGCTAGTGCGGACTCCGTGCTGCGCGGCTACACGCGGCATGGACTAGGTAGTTCGGATTAGGTTTCCTATTCCGAACTACCGTTACTCCTCGTTTCACTAGGAAGCCTAGTCCGAACTACCTAGTCCGTGCTGCATGTAGCCGTGCGGCACGGAGTCCGCACTAGCGGACATTTAAAAATGGCGGCGCCCAGCGAGATGCAAATGAAGGCCGGGAAATTCAAATCCCGGGCTTCATTTGCAACTCCGGTTGCCTACATTATCACCCTAGTTCGAACTAGGGTGGTAGTGTAGACATACCCTAACTGAGCTTGAATTTGTCCCATTGGCTCAGAGGTGATTTTAAGTCTTAGGTTAAATTACAGCTTTATTTATAATTCTTTGTAAATGATTAAATATTTCCACATCAGTGGTAGCAATTTTAACGGACAATGTTTTAAGATTGCATTGAATTTTAAAGGGCCCAGTCCAGCAAAACAATCCCTGGCTTTCTGTGACATGAAGGCCCAGAAGCTGCTGGGACCACAGAAGGCTGAGAGAATATTGATCTGCTACACGGGATTAGAAAGAAAGAAAGAAAAGAAAGAATGAATCTCTACCATGGGCATTAACTGCCAGGAGAGCTGAGTGCTCTGCTTCCCAATCCTTAATTCATCCAACTCCCATCACAGCCATGTGCGGGTCTTCCCCATCCCCATAATGACCATTGTGGTGTTTGTCAGGGGAGCCCTCCATAACAGGCAGAGACTCCTGATAGAGCCTCACCTCCCCATAATTATTGTTTGTCTTACAATGAGAAAGGCAAGTGTCTAGGCCAAGTAGTCTCCACTTCTCAAAAGGAGACCTCCAAAATGGAGTTGTCATCTTCTGAAGCTCTGCTAACTTAAGGCGATGGCTTGGCTCCTCCAAAATTTGTTCCCATTTGACATTCAGTCAGCCAGGAAGAATGGACCTGTGAAAGGATGTCAGGGGAACTGCTGAATGAGTTTTTCTGCTCCCCAATATCATGTCCATAGAACTGGATTGCTATATACTACAAATGGGCTGAGAGGGTAATGGACTGTCCATGAAAAGAAGTATCTCAGAATGCCTTATCCTCAGCATTCCTTAATAGTACTAGCTACGTCTCTCTCAAAAGAGGGAGCAGCAACCTATGCATCTGCATAGTTCAGGAAACCTCATGAACATCTGTGGACAAACTAAATACAACCCTAATATTCCAAGTAAAATCTTCTGTTTACTCTTTGGAACAAATTCTCTACCAGTGTATCTCCACTGAAGTCATTGGAGTTGCATCACCAGGGCCTCAACATAGGTCTTGGGTATTTTTTATGTTCAGACAAGCCTATTAATTAATGATGCTTTAACAAATGTGTCTACACTGCCAGGAAAGGTCGCAAAAGTCTTTTCCAAAATTTGGCTCGTCGAAATGGGGCCAAATGTTGGAAAAGACTGCTTTTTCAGAACATCTCTTCTTCCTCTCACTGAAGGGAATACAGGGATGCCAAAAGAACACGTTCGCTTTTTTGGAAATTGTTCCAAAAAAGTGGACACGTTCCTTGGATGCAGCAGAGCTTTCGGTATCCCAGAAAAGTTCTACAGTCTATACATAGCCTAAAAGCCAGTAAAGTTGTTAATCTGAATTATGTTAATCTGAGTGATGGGTTTTTTTCACTAGCAGAAATATATATTAATATTAAATATACTACATATTAGCTTTAGATCTTTTCTTTTTTTAATTTCCTTGATCTCCTCTTGTAATGTCTTCACTCAAAGCCTCTGAATGTGCTGAACACCTTAATGCAGCCTAGTGCCTTTGAATAGTATTTATAGCCTTTTTTGCAGCATTACCTAGTGGTATTTTATCATCTTATTGTGAGAAATATTATTGCATTTTTCTAAAATTAATGCAGTCATAGATTAAATATTTCATGCAAAGTGAAAATTAGGTTAGAATAAGATTTTTTAAAAATCTGTTCACATCCAAAATAGTCTATTGTAAGCAGATATTGGAGACAAAATAATAAATGTATGAGCATCATAAATGTCAAAATTTTAAAGCCATCTAATCTTTTAATATTTGTTAGGGCAAAATTATCTGTATCTGAGTCCAAATCTGTGCTTGTTTGCCCTGAATCTATTAGCTAAAAACAATTTTGTTATACTCTATTTGCTGTCTAATAGTTTTAATAATTCTGTGCTTTCCTGGTATTATTAGTCCCTGTTTAGTTATAAAATTCAGAATCACAATAATTAAATGTGCAACACACACAAAAAGAGGTGTGATTCTTGCTTTATAAACAATGTAGCTAATTATGTTGGTTTATATAAATTAACTTGCATGCATTCAGCTGCAGATTTAATGGCTTTTATAAACATGTATTTTATGTACTCAGTAAACAAGAGACACTACTTTGGTTACATTTCTTCTGCTTTTTTTTTTAAAGATCTGTTAAGATCCACAATAAAAATCATACCTGAAAATCAGAAATGTGTGTCACTATCTGTGCTAAAGATGATTCATGTAGCAAAAAGTAGCAAGGTTATATACTTGTATATTCCTTGGAACTGGAAACCCTCTACATGTCTCTTCCCCACCCCCAGTTATCTCCTTGTGGGTATGCTTGGTGTTAGTTGATTATCTGTGAAGGTTGGTGACAGCTGAAAGTGGATTGACAAAACAGACATACAAACATATGCTTGAGCCTATTAGCAACAGCAGGTAGAGAAAATGTGCCTGACTCAAAATGGTGTAGGCAAAGCACACCCTGCCTCTCCTGGATATTATTGGTATATTAGACACTTTCGCAATGAAGTATTATTTCGCAGCATGTTTCAGTTGTATTATTCAGTAGTGTGTCAGTAATACATGTAAATTGTTGCACTTAAAACTTTCCAGTACATAAAGTAATTGTCAGTGAATGTGCTAAAGCTGGATTGGTCCCAGGATTTTACCAGGCCAAGATAGATTAGGGGTTTTTGTTTCTCAGTTAGGGTATGTCTACACTACAAAGTTAATTTGAACTAACAGACGTTAGTTCGAATTAACTTTCATAGGCGCTACACATACAAACCGCTAGTTTGAACTTAATTCGAACTAGCGGAGCGTTTAATTCGAACTAGGTAAACCTCATTCTACGAGGAATAATGCCTAGTTCGAATTAAGTAGTTCGAATTAAGGGCTGTGTGGCCACTTGATTCGAACTAGTGGGAGGCTAGTCCTCCTGGGTATGTCTACACTACCCTCCTAGTTCGAACTAGGAGGGTAATGTAGGCATACCGCACTTGCAAATGAAGCCCGGGATTTGAATTTCCCGGGCTTCATTTGCATAAGCGGGGAGC